TTATGATTTTTTAGACTCGACTTCTAATTAAGTCTCTGTCTTTTGATTAAGGTTGTATACTTGTTTAATGACAAATTATGAAGCATTTTCAGAGTGCTGGTGCGGGAAACAGTTCATAGAAGTCCATGGTTTGTGGGACAAGAGATTGCCTTTTTGTAGTTGTTCTTTGGTTAAGGAATAATGTCCCAGAGACATCCTAAGAAACAAACAAACCCCCAACTCCGTGCCATTAGGTTGCTATCTTCTCATAGTGACCCTGTAGGACAGGGAAGATCTGCCCCTGTGAGTTTCTGAGACTGTAACTATTTATGGGCATCGAAAGTCCTCTTTCTCCTGCAGAGCGGCTTGTGGAACACACCCCAGTGCATGCCTGCTACACTACCAGGGCTCCCTGAGATCTATATACTAAAGGGGGAACATTTTCCCCCCATATTACAATGATAGCTGTAGATGTATGCATTCATAGCAGTAGATAGCAGTTTATTCTGAACAGTTCTGTTCATGAGCTGCTCTGAGGAAACGTGAATTAGTCACATCAGCAAACCAGCTACAACCCTGAAATGAAATACAAATAAAAATACATCTCCTGGTGAAATGATAACTGATATCATAAAAGCATTCCATTTCCGTAAAGAGTTATAGTCTTGAAAATCCACAGGCGCTGTTCTGCTTAACCCGATAGAATCTCTATGGGTCCCCCATCATTGGCCAGATGGCAGTGGGGTCATATAAATACTCTATTCTCCTGTAATCCAGTTATTAAACTCAACATCTAGAAGAAGTTTGTTGTGTAAAGACTGATTGAAGTAAGTAAATAAACAACTGAAGTGAAATTCTGGAACTGGTCCTTTGGGTTGACTTGTCGCCATTTTATTTCTCTGGATTGAGTCCTGCTTCATTTCACTCTTGTTTTCCCGTAGCATACTAGTTAATGGTGCGAGTTTCTCAAAGCGCACTGGCTATTTCTACCTCCCCTAGCTGCGTTGTCTTAGGCAAGACTTGATGCTTCCTGCCTTGATTGCTTCATCTCTAAAATAAACAATGATATCTGCCACCCATGTATTTGTTGTGGAAATTACATAAAGAAATGCTTGTAAATCACTTAGCTGCCAAGTGTGTAGCCAGAATCCAAAACGCGTCCATGTTCACTGCTTTTTGGTTCTGCGCCTACAGAGCCCCTGCCTCTGCTCTGTTTACAGCTTCTCTCCCCACAGCACTCATTCTGCCAACACATGTGCTTCTCTTGTTGACCAGGAAAAGCAGTATTAATACCTTACAACTTGCTATTACCTGATCATACTCTGATTTAGTCATTTCTTATGTGAGAGTTGTTTTTCCACATGGGTTTAAGAGAATACTTTTAAATTTTGTGTTCTGATTAGATTGACAGAGTTTTAAATTCCCTTCCCAGGGCAGTTCTACTAGTAAGGTTTACAGTGAAGGAGAGAGGAATACTTATTCAGTTAGTGTGATGAAACAGAATAATTTGTAATGGTTGGATAGCTGTCGTCAAGGTCTGTTGTGCAGAACTAAGATTGGCTTTGGTGATGTGGAAGCAGGCCCATCATGGCTCTTAGGGATAACCTTATTACAGCAATTGATTTAGAGTACAACATGATGTGCCTTCTTTTAATAGTCTTTGTTTTGTGTCAACATCATCAAAATCATTTATAAATTCTTGTTTCTAACCTGTCTCTAACATTTTCTTAATGCCATTAATGGAAGTCATGAGACCAAAAAAAGATGTTACAGCAGGTAGCTCTTTGGCTCAGTGGACATTTTGGTTAAAAACAATGTCAGTTTGAGCTTTCTGGTGGTATAATTCCACATTGGGCTATTAACCACAAGGGCAGCAGTTTGAAGCCACCAGCCTCTCCACTAGAGAAAGATGAGGCTGCCTTTCCCTATAAAGATGTATGGTCTTGGAAATCCACAGAGACCGTTCTACTCGGTCTTATTGGGTTGCCATGAGTTGAAATAGACCTGATAGTAGTGAATTTGATTTGGGGGCATTGATGTCTTCAAGGAGCCTTGATAGCACTGTCGGGACTGCCAATGGCAAGGTAGGCAGGTCAAGCTCACCAACCACTGGGCAGGAGAAAGGTGTCTGCCCATTTACAGAGCCTCAGAAACCCGACAGAGGGTTTCTCCACTGTGTGCTGGAATCAACTGGATAATAGTAGGTGTGGTTTTCTTTTTTTATTGATGGATTTAAAACATTTCCAGTTTATTTTATTGAACTGATTTTTCTTTTTATGTGAGCCTAATTAAGGTATGTTTCCCAGCAGTGCATATTTGGTGATCGTATTTGTTTGTTTCCTTTCTGTGTATTTAACATGCTTTTAGTTAATAAAACTAACATTCTCTGCTTCGCTTGTTTAATGTTTGTTTTCCCCTTAGAGTTAGCCGTACTTTTGTACTTCTTAAAAGATAAACTAGAATTCTCTGAGAAGAAAGCAATATTTTACATGTTTTATTGTATTTTATATGCTGGCTTGTTTTGTGGGTTTTTTGTTTTTTTTTTAGAGAGAAACATGTTTGGTTAGTGCACATTTCTAGCAATACACATGATTCTACAGCTTGAAATCCAGTGAAATAGGACTCTCATTTGAAAACCAAAGGGTTAAGACTACAACAGAGGATAAAAGTGATCAAATGGTTAGCTGGGGGCTAATAGAAATTCTGGGAAGAATGACAGATTGTACATTAGAAAGAAATATGATCTTATATTCATTGAAGCTTTTTACAACTGAAGATCCAAAAGAAATAATAGAAAATTACTGAGAGAGAAATGTCTGAAACTTTAGAAATACATGTGGTGTTGGATTAATCCAAGCAAGAAAGTCTGATGGGCAGATAATAAGTTTCATTGTGTAGGAAGTCTGCATTCCTTGTTGCAAAGTTCTTTAGCCTTTTTTTTTTTTTTTGGCCCTTGCAAGCTATATTGAAGTAGCTCTAGGCCAGTTTCAGAAAACTCAATTCATGATTGTCATCATCACACGATATGCGGGTAGTTCTTTGGAATGGAAAAAGCATTACAAAGACTTCAGATCTTGAGTGGAGAAGGGCAAGCCAACCATCCCTTCTGTTCTGTGCCAGATGAGTAACATGTTTCCTTATGAGAACGTAACCAATAGAGAATACCTTCTCACGTGTCCATTATAATGCTCCAAAACTAAGAGAGAGCTTGAAGAAATGGCTCCACGAGTTTTAGTCAATAGCGGCCCTCTCATAAACTGAAATACGCACACACGCACATTTTCCACTACAGAGAAGGACATCGATTTAACTGTCACAGCAGTGAGGTTTGAGGACGCTGTCCTTTGCTCTGACTGAAAAACCAAGCTGAGTGCCATCGAGTCAGTGCAGATTCAGAGTGGCCCTGAGGCACAGGGTAGAGCTGCCCTTGGGTTTCTGAGACCAACTCTTTGCCAGAGGAGAAAGTCTCCTCTTATTTGACTAAGAAAATTGAGTGTCTGTGTGTAGGGGTATTGTGGTCTGCCTTCATACAAATTCACATGGAAACTATAATCCTTCCCCTTGACTCCTCGTGCTATTTTAGTTGTATATTCTATATTGTTTGTCTAAACAGTGGTGTTTGTTTTATTTTAAAATAAAACCACAATACAGTATAGATTTGCTCTTTGTAAAATTTCATTTTTAAACACATACAACTAAGCATTTTAAACCCTGGAAATATACTTGCCAAACTACCTGAAATCCAGAAATGTGTTGCTTGTTTTTCTTTTGCAAAAGTGTAAGGTTTCTAAATGGCACCCATTCCATGTGAATCATCCTTGCTGGGAGTGGGTGCAGATTGCGGAGAGCACCCTTTAGCACCAGTATTATGTGGTCATGATAGCACTGTGATAAGCCTGGAGAAGTTGGACTCCTTTCAGATACATTGGTTAAGAAATTCATATTCTTCTAAAACAACTTTAGTCTTTTAATCAGTGTTTTTTCCCCCCAGATTTTTGCCATTCATACTTGGCATTCGTTTGTGTTCTTAATTTTCTAGATCCAAGGAGAAAACATAACATTTCATGAAACAGATATAAACAATAAAGTTGATGTACACACAGAGAACGTGATTAATTCTTCATAGCATTTTCATACTGCTGTTTCTCTTTCAACTCTTAATATCTGGGAAGCGGAAGGGTGTGAGGGAGAGACTCTTGCTCCTTAAACTTACTCCAAGTCATCAGAGATTTTATATAGTAACACATTTAAGTTCAAACTCAAGTATGTGTAGTATATATAAATGGTCTCTGTATTATGTAACTATACTAAAACATTTCCTACCATCTTTGAGAAGGCTCCTACAATTTCCTTTTTCATAGCTACGTTGGAAATAGGATCATTATGAAAATGCTACAAATGCTTTTATTGTTTGGGTCTCGTCATTATAATGTGGGGAATTTTGCTAGCCTCAGGGCCAGATGAGCCATGTCAATAAAATAAAAGTTAGCAGTTTTAACTTTTTAATAAACTTAATGTTTCCATCAACTCCTCTCTAATCGGTGTTAGAGGGTAATTTAAAATGTAGTTCATCCTAGGGTTTGTTTCTGTCTTACAACGGTGTTCATAAGCTGTGGGCGAGCAGAGAGGAAGAGAACGGGAGCGGGAGGGAGCACGAACGACTTCAGGGGGGTTTGTCGCCAGTAAGAGAACACACCAAAACTCTGAGCTCTACTTACTGAACCTCTGTCAGCTGTTCCTAAACTAACCCCAGTATCTTGGACAGAGGTAAGAGCCTAAGAGTTTTATAAATGACCTGCAGTGATGACCCTTCCTCTTTCCTAGATAGTTTGCTCTGGGCTTGCAATGTAAACAAAAATGATAATGAACTTCTCCACAATGCTTCTCCACAGAGAATAAGTTAATTTTCCGCATGTCATCATGAGCCCTAATGGGCATCTGTGTTTGTAGATAGATTGTACTTTATGTGGATCAAATAGAGAGTTCTAACAGGAGCTTTTTTTTTTTTTTTTTTTTTGCAGCTATGTCATCTTATCTTCTAATTATTAAAACTGAACTTCCTGCAGCTATTTCAGAATTTTTACCTGGAGACTACACTGGGTAAGAAAAAAAATGTTTCACTCTGTCCATTCGTTTCTGAACACAAATGTTTCTTGAGCTTCACTGAAAAGCAAGGAGCCTTGGCGGCATCGTAGGTTATCCGTTGAGCTGTCAATGGCAAGGTTGATGGTGCACATCCACTCGCTGCTCCAGTGGGGAAAGATGAAGGTTTTCTCATCTATCAAGATTTACAGCCTCAGCAGCCCACCGGGGCAGTGTGCTCTAGGAACTCCACGAGTTGGAATCGATTCTGTGGTAGTGAGTTTGACTTGGTTTGGGTGGTGAGAAGCAAAACAAATATAGTCCCTGCCCTCAAGACACTTAACCATCAGGGCGATAGGAAAAAAGAAGGAAACAGTTGGCAGCCATTTCTTGATTACCCATTTTGCTGGGAATGATCAGAAACCAGACCTCGTCCTTGTGCTCTGCTCCTGGCTGGGGGAGGTGCCAAGAGGGAAGAGAAGGGTTTGAGAAGGTTCTGGAAAAGGAGTAAAGGAGAAGTGCCTGAGGATATGGAATACTGGAACTATGGAAAGGCTGGAAGCCCTGCCAAGTAAAGATTGTAAACAAAGGAGGGGAGTGGATGATGCTGTTCTTCTCACTTCTCGGCAAATCATATGGTAAAAGAATGCGATGCTATTAGGAAGCTTGATAAAGAAAAGAAATGATTTGTATGGATTAAATTGTTCCGTTTCCTATTTTAAAAACAGTATTATCAACAACAGTAAACCACATTCACCTCCCTTTTCCTTCCCTGTGTTAAAATTGCTGGGCCTCAAAGACTATCGATTCATCCCTTTGAAGGGAAAATGAAACAAATTAATTAGGCCTTTCTTTTACTATGAAGAACAAGAAATTCTGAGACCTTGAGAAGACAGAGTTAACCCTTTCAGTTTTCATCAGGGTATCATTTCACAGAGCTTTCAAGCCACAAAAGAAAACTGGGCGGAGTGGTAAATTTTAATCTTTACTTGTTTTGCTCCAATAATTGAACTTGTTCTGGAATGTAGGCCAAGCTTTCAAAATTTTGTTTTACTGTTTACAACTTGGCTTCTATTACAACATGCCACTTAGGCCACTGCAGGTACGTATTTGTGAGGAAAGCATGCTGTCCTTGACATCTGCGTTAGGTAGAAGACACGATGGTTCAAAGACCGTAGACCGAAGTCCTTAATGATTTTTCATCAGGAGAAGAAATTGTCTTCATTTTCATAGTCGATACAACTACCCCGGTTTATCTATAGCTTTGTCTAGTTACGTTTGAAATTTATGCTCTTAATTTGATAGATGATTGCTTCCAGAAATAGCTATGTGAAAATCACTTTTGTGTTTTCTGTAGAAATATTGGGAACAACCTGTATTCCTAAAAAACCTATGTGAGAAATTGTTTTTTATAATTTAGGGATAAGAAAAGGTGAATTTCCCTTGAGGAATTCATCGCAATATGAGGTAGTACAAAGAATGCCTTACTAAGAGTTATGATTTATAGTATATCAGCTTCATATTCAACAATCTCAGAAAGTTCACTTTTCTTTTGTTAGCCCTATAACTTTGAGGCTTTACACTTCTCCACCTGGGATACCAGAGGTACCAATATTGTCTTTTTGACAAGAGGTGAGATGATCAAAGAAGATGTACAAACACATGGTTTTGTAAGCTGATAGCACAATGTAAACGTAGAGAAAAATTTCCAGTACCGCTACTATTAAAATTGGTGTTCATTTCCCTTTTTGCTCTGACTACCAGGAAGCTTAGAGCCAAGTTTAAATACATCACACGAACTGTCATCATAATAGTTGTCATGTGTGCTTTTCTCTTTGTCCTGAATGTGGTGTTTCTGTTTAAATGTTTTATGTTCTATGTCATATGGAAAGAGATGGGATATAAACACACATGAAATTTTAGAAATAATTACAGTGGTAATTATTTGCCAGAACTGATGTTTAAATGAAGGGCTTCTTTAATACGATACTTCTACCTGAGCTTCCTTTTAAATCCATAACCATTTATATCATTGAGTGTTTGTGTTTGGGTCGTGGGGGTGGGGGTTTAACCCTGGTTTGTTGTTATGAGTCAGAATCCACTTGATAGCAATGGGTCCACCAAAAATGGCCTCATCTGTATTCATATTAATAGAACTTCGACTAAAATGTTTTAAACTAAAGACTACAGAATATTGTGGCCAGTTTGCATGATCTGTTATGTTGTTTACAACTGCACATGTTTTTAACAACCTTAGCTTGTTTCAAATGTAATGATTATTTCCGTACTTTGGATTTTAAAGTTTTGAAAAGCATTTGTTAATGACTAATCATACAACTTGGTCAAAATGCAGGTAAATTACCAGTTTTTATAGCTTAATAATGTAAAAGAATGAAGAAACAAATGTTATGGTAATTAAAATAAATAGGATAGTTTTGCTCTAGATAGAATTACATAACAGTGTTTCTTCTTGAAGGTCAAAATGATATTGATATGCTTTCATTTCAGCATCTAATTTACAATGAATTTTGCAGTTAAGATCTTTCAAAGGTACTTATTTTCTAGGCTATCTATGGCATTTGATGTGCCTTTGTGACATATAAACCTTCATAATATTATAATTTCAAAAGTTGCTATTAGAAGTCAGGCTATAATACTTCCATCGAACTTATATATAGCTGCATCTAAATTTCTCATAGAATAACTTTTAAATCTGTGGCTATTAAAAGTTGGAAGCTCTCTGTTAACATTTAATGATCTTGTCAGGGGGATATGATTGACACAATTAAGTTGTCTTGCATTTGAGTTACATAATTGATATGGGATGTGAGTAAGATCCTAATTCAGAACATATGATACTCTTGTCCCATTCCATTCGAGAATGAAATTAAAGCAACTTACAAATCAAGTCTGGTTTTCATTAAAATATGGAAAAAAACATCTGCATGCCAAAGCATTTTCAATACAGCTAAGGGTTTATACTCCATATTGCATACTTGGAGCATTTTTATCATCTAGGATTAAATCCACTGATCAAATAGGTTTTCTAGGAAGCACAAAGCTTTTTGCTCTAATTGTCTGGCTTAAAGAGAATGTATACTTAGATCATGGTAGGAAAACAGAAGTTCTGCTAGATACTGAAGACTGCCTCCACTATAGTTTGGGGGGGAAATATATAGTTAGTACATCCTTCTAAAATCTGGACTTTTTAAAATTTAATCAATGCTTTTTAAGATTGAGTTTTACTGATTTGCATTTCTCACGCTGGGGTTTTTGTTTGTAAGTTTAATCATTTCTGTTCTTTGGACATGATCCATTGCTAAACACAATTCAGGTGGATGTGACCTGCACGTGAATCCTAAACTCACTTTACTGTGCATGACTGGATTACCTCTATTGTTCAGAACAGTCAAGAAAAACAATGTCTTTCTAATTGGCTTGATTAACACAAATTTTAAAGGATAAGAAATAATTATCAGTAGACAAATCAGGAAAGAGACATTCTGTTTGCGGGTAAACTTGTGTTATGTTAGGAATTTAAAGCCCACCCCTGTGAAGAGAGTGTAAAGTACAATCCTGAAGGACTGGGGCATTCTGCGAGGAGTAGAGAGTGCTTCTTGTCCACCGCTCCGCTCACCCAAATCCTCCTGCCCTGGCTGATTTTACCCATGTGTGAAATGCCCTGCCGAACCCATGGTCCATCTCTAAGCTGTAAGGCCCCGTAAGGATGGCCCTGTTTGCTCTCGAAGTCCGTGGCTCGTTCGAGTAGCTGCTGGGAGGCCCAGTCTGCACTTTGGGAAACTATGCGGCCTCCACAGACATGAATGAACTGATTTCTGAAATAGGGTAAAGAAACAGTTCAGGATTTTGAAAAATGCCCCCTTATTCTGATACCAAGTACAGAAGTGTCTTTGCGCCTCGGGGCTAGTGTGCTACTCTTGCAGCTCGTGGATGGAAATTGCTGGGGTGCCCCTCGGAGCCCTCTCCTCCTCCTGGCACCACAGCTGTCTGGGCCTGACGCTGGGTCCCAGAAGGAAGCTGAGCCCAGGTCTCGGCCAGCTTCAGAAATGCAGTGGCCAGGCCTTCCTCAGTGAGGGACATTTTGACGTTCCCATTTTGATTTTTATTCAAGAGTGACTGGAAGGTCAACATTGAGTATCATTTTATATTGCTAATGTGTGTACTCGCAGGGCCTCGCACATACCAGAAGTTGAGGGTACGTATGAATCTGCAGACTGCTGCTTCAGGTCCCTTTGAGCTGGAAACACTTGTGCGAAGCGTTCAGTTTCTGACACATCGTTTCCTAAAGACGTGAATTAGGGCGAGAAGGAAAAAGTAGGAGCATGGTGATTTCTGCTGCTGCTTATTCTGTTAAAGAGGAAGATGTCGACACCCACTAGTAACGATTAAAGTTATTTTGGAAAGGACTTCCTCACAAGTCAGGGTGTAAAAGATACAGTGAATCCTAACAGGCATGTTTGAAGCCAGGGATTTCTGTGTTGAGGAAGACCTCCTGATTTACCTTGGCAGTGGGAGATTTTAACTGCCTGCTAGGAAAGGCAAAGAAGGATGCATTATTGCAAGTGGAATTCTGAGAACGTCGCTAAGTGGCTTGGAAAAGTAGTCCCCAGTATCCTTGTGAGGAGCCCTGGTGATGAGGGGGTGTACACGTTGGACTGCTCACCTCAAGCTAAGGACAGCAGTTTGAAACCACCAGCCTCCCTAGGGGAGAAAGGTGAGGCTCTCTGCTGTAAAGAGTGCCAGTCTCGGAAACCCGCAGGGGCAGTTGTCCCTTGCCCTATAGTGTCGCCATGAGTCAGCATCGAGTTGAGGGCAGTGAGATTTTTGCTCTTTGTTTTTTTGTTTGTTTGTCTGTTTGTTTAGTCTCCTTGTGAGTCATTTGTGAAGTGAACCCAGGGATCTGAGAGAAGCGAGTGGCTATAGCTCCATGGACCCCCTCTAAGCCTGACTGTCTAGTGGTTGTCCATGCAAATGAAGAAAACAGGCTCCCGTTGCTTAAGATGAGACTTCAGTATTTTGTAGCAAACTCTTTTCCATTTTCATATGTAGCTTTGTCTTTTATGGAACAAGATCGAAGTTAGCTCCGATCTCTCACACTGTCTACTTCAGCATTGGGTAAGGAATGTACACGTAACTGGTAACCAGTATCAAAGTCTAAAAGTTTGTGACCAACATACTTTTACTTACAGATTTGTTTTGATTCAGTCACCCCCATAATAAAAGTTCTCCCACAAACTTAAAAACAAAGCTGGTAATCCCTATGGATCTTTAATGCCCCCAACTTTAATTTTAGCAGGAATTTTACTTTACTATTGAGAGTGTGTATATACCTGATATATGTGTATGTTTCCTTATAAAAGGATTATAACTACATTACAGAAATTTCAGAAGAGTATCATTTTATTATTTCCATTGATTTTCTCCCTTGGGCCCCCCCTGACTTTTTTCACATAATGAATAATATGTCATTAGCATTTTCTACATTACTGAATTATCTTTTTTTTAAACTGTGTAACCTCTTATTGACCTAGATATGAGAGTAAGTGAAAAAGTATTGCTACAAAATCACAGAAACCTTTGTTAAACAAAAAAATACCCGAAGGTGAAGGTCTCCTCTATTTATCCATGTAGACTTCTGAAGGCAGTGTTTGCACCTCTCTAACCTGTCCCTCAATAAGTGTGCACTCTTCAACCTACACCGTGTCAAAACAGCAGTTTTGACATCTTTATTTAGTTAGTTAGTTTTGGCATCTGAGAGGCACTCAGATTGGGTTCCTTTCCAATGTTCTTTGAGCGTCGGGAACAACAGCAACATTTGAGAAGGGCAGGATCAGGGCTGTAGGTAAATGGATTGTTAGCCAACAAAATTCCTGTAGGGAAGCTCTTGCTATCATCAGAGAATGAGCTGGTGCATTGCTATGATGGGAGAAACAAAACCCAACCCAACCTTACCTTTCTCTCACCAGTGCACTTGTCAGTTTTCTTAACGCTTCCTCCAAATAAGCCCCTATGAGCAGCCTGTATTCTTCAAGAAAATCTAGCAAGAGTGCCATTTTGTACTCCCCCAAAACAGTTGCCATTAACCTTCTGAACTGACCTCTGCCTTGAACTCAATTGGTCCAGCAGAGCGACTCAGAAGCTGCTGTTATGATTGATTTTTTTAAGACACCCTACCATGACTAAGACAAGTGTATTATTAATAGAATTTGTCTTCAGCCATTCATGGCTCACAGAAACATGTTTAAACATGCTTTGTTTGGAATAAACCTGTGCACATCTAAGCTGGAACTATAGTAGCAATACTTCCTAATTTACCCTCCGAGGTCTATGAAATTTACTGCAAAATTCATTGGATTATTATACCTGTAAAATGTTCTCGTTAATGATTGTTTCAGAGTTTAAGATTGTTGTGGCCTTATACATTTAAATTATTTCTACTTTTCATTATCTTTATTTTTAATAAGCATCTTTTTATAAAAATCTTTGTTCTTGTTGCCAGTTGTTTAATTTTTATTAATATTTTGTGTTAAAGGGTACAAATATTTGAAGGCCTTAATATCTAATGCCAAATTGACTTTTAGAAAGGTAACTTACACAGTCTGTCCTCCCACCAATTATTGTCTTGTTTTTATGATGATGTGGGTTTTAGTTATTATTAATGTGGGAAAATGTCCATGAGATCTCCCTGAGTTAGGAAAAAAGATATGACACGCTTTGAGTATCCTGGAATTAGTGTCAGTTCCGAGCCAGGGAAAAAAGAAGAAAAAGAAAAGAAAAAAGATATGACAAAATAGTTTATATAGTATGATCCTATTTATGGAAATTATACACATGTGGCTTTGAGGAATTTGTATCAGGAAGAATGCCCACCTCCTATCTGTGCTGAAGAGATTTCAGTGGCATTTATTTGGGCTATTTTTCTGTGGTTATTAAATGATTTTCACAAAGTTTTTAAAACCACTTTCAAGAGGAATTGTGTTTTTGTAAGATGGAGCGAGATACCCTCAATATTGTTGAGCGACTAAAACAATCATGGTATAATCCTGCTGTTGTCTACATAAGATACAGAAAACTCCTAGCCTGTTTCCCAGAGAGGGTCTAAATATCGAAGGAAATAGCATCCGAGGGAGCCCTCCATCCTCGATCTTCAAAGACACTCTGCTGTCGATTCTCAACATCGACATATTGATGGAAATATTGATGTGTGTGCCTGTGTACTTCGTGGTCTTGAGAGCTGTTTTGAGGCTCATTAAATGGAAACCTGAAGTCTGCAGGGTAGGGGCCTGTAACTGAAGAGGGTCTGTCCTGGCAGTAGGACCTTGATAGGAAACCCAGCTCCTCATAGGTCTTGGACAGCCTCAGCCAGATCTCTCCAGCATCCCTCAGAGACAGTCTGCAGCTCCAAGTCGGCTCCTGGGAGCACTAGTCCCAAATTCCCACAAGGCACACTTCCGAACTCTGGGAGTCAAGATGAGAAAAGCCAGATGACTCTGGGGAAACAAATGGATTCTCAGAGCTTCGTTGGGGCTGTCTGAGGGGCCCTCTGGAGACAACGGGTCACTTATTCTCACCAGTTTTATTCACGCCTCATCACTTCTTACCAACATCACCACTTACCTTGTTTTTAAAGATGTGGTCATTTGGTCATTGGAAAAAATGTTTTAAAGAGTCACATGACTTTGACCTCTTTCATGTAAATTTTCAAATCAGTCTTATAGGCTCTCACAAGAATGCATTTCAACAAAATGAAGTAGGCTTTTCCTAGTAGATGATTGTGATGGTTATAGCTTATGTGTGCTTGCCTGCATGTGTGTGCGCACACGTGTACAATCACACATGCACAAGCACAATCCTAGGGAGTCTTGTGCCTAAACTTGAACTTTTTTTCCTCACAGATCTTGGTATCTTGATGGACAGACACTACTCTTAATTATTTGCACGGCCATTGTGTTTCCTCTTGCGCTTCTTCCCAAAATAGGTGAGTCTTTTTAAAAGAAGACATGATTTGTTGAAAGGCAAGAAGATATTTAGGGGCTCTTAAGCACCATCGTGTCATATATTCAGCAGTTGTGAATCATTTTCAACTTGGCCTTATGCTAGGTGGTGCAGCCTTTGGCCCTGCCCAGTCAACCGACCCTTGGTTTGCAGTAATCTGCCCCACTAAATAAAATCTTTACCAAGGAACAGTAAAGAGCAGCCCTTGCTTGTGGGGGGAGGTCAGATGAGCAGGCATTCTCCCCACTGAAGGCAATCAGTTGTCTCATCCCTCCACAGGGGTGGGCCTGCTCCCTGCCTCTGGGGACAATGGACAGGCTCCTGTAGGAGGAGTTTTCACCCTACTGATAATGTTCCTATGGAGACCCAGAGACCACCCCCTAGACCACCTTCTCATTGCTGTGTAACCTATAGTGCAGCTCCTCCCTGTGATGTATGTCTCTACGTGTAATTAGTGGGCTGGCATGCCCCCAAAAGGTATATAGGCATGGGGTCAGCAATATAGCTCTCCCGCTCTCTGACTCTGAGCTCCTTGCTGCTCACTCCCTGGTCACTCCCCTCTCCCTTGTTCCCTTACCCTCCTTCCCTTCCCCCTCTCTCCACGTGGACCACCAAGCTGGGCTGAGGTGAGCAATGCTGCCATATAATGTGCCTGACTGCATTATTGTAATATCTCTCATGCTCTCGATGACTTTATATCTCTCATGCTCTCGATGACTTTAATATAATACTTTTATATCTCAACCGTACAATTGTGCATTACTGAACCCAAAAGTAGTATTACTGAACCAGTGAGTTCTAGCAGCGGGTGGGGCTGGCACCCCACCCCTCCGCGTCACATTTTAATTTAATACTACACTTCCTGACAGTGTACCATTAGTGGTCAGCCAGTTCCAATTCTGCTCGACAGAGCTACAGAAATGATCTGTGACAGATAGCTGGAATGTTGTTCTTCTGAGCCCTAAGCCCCAGATACCAAGCACCGTAATAGAAACCATGCCTGGCATGTATAGCTTTAGCTGTATGTTAGGATCACTTTCCTTATAAATTGCTTTTTATTTTCCTATTATTTTACAGGCTTTCTTGGCTACACAAGTAGTTTATCATTTTTGTTTATGGTGTTCTTTGCGCTTGTGGTAAGTTTAAAATACAGTGCCTTGCTTATCTCCTCACTAAAACTGGGCTCATTGTGTAAATGTCTCTCCCCTTCCCCCTTTTACTCTGGTGTTGGGAGGGTTATCCTATTTATTTCACTGTATCATTAGAAGTACTTTTGTCTCACAAAGTCCTTTTCCTTCATTTTATCTCTTTTGAAATGGCTTACGGGTAGCCTTTCAAACACAACATCTCTAGAGAGGGGAGCAAAACAAATTCTGTTAAAGCGCTTGGTGTTGTATAATTTTTTGTCGTATAGGTGAGTGTATAAATATTGTTTCTGTATTATAGCATCTATGTGTGCGTGTTTAGGCATAAGAATCCAACCTATAAAACCACTGTGATGCTGGCCATCCTCATTTGTAATCCCCTGTTCCGTGAAAGAAGCAGCCCTGGTGGCAGAGTAGGTCCATGCTGGGCTGCTACCCTCAAGGTCAGCAGTTTGAAAACACCAGCCACTCCTTAGGAGAAACATAAGGCTTTTGACTCCCACAAAGAGTGACAGCCTGGGAAACCCACAGGGGCACTTGCACGCAATCCTCTTGGGTTGCTATGGGTGGTAATTGACTCCATTTCTGTGAGTTTTGAGGTTATTCCATTAATGAAACTAGAGTTTGGGGGACGTAGCTATTGAGGTAGACTAATAAGAACTAGAATGCTTCAGTTCTTCAATTTGATCTAATTCAGCAGCGAAAACTCTCATTAAAAGACAAATGCTATTTTTCTACATAGAGAATGTTTTGTCACTTTTTAACTAGCTCATCATCATTATAGGAAAAAATCAGATGGTTAATTTAACTTCTTGTTATGTTTACAAAACAATTTATTATAAAGATGAAAGGGAGTTGAATTGCAGATTTCCTTTTAGTTCCTGTAAAATAGGTTTTAACCTCTAGAAGACAGTCTTTTTAGTGTGAAATTTTTCAGGGTTTAAAAAAAAAGGAGAGAAAAGCTTCCCTTTCTTTGCATAGCATTTTACTCCACAGTCAATATTTAAATCTCAAACCCTGAGTACAATTAAACATTTTGAAATTGCCAAGAAAAAGTATATATGTATATGTACATACATATTCATTTCATAAGCATGTTTAAACTCTCCCTTTTTATAAATGTTTCTGTATGATAGGAAACTGCCATCTATTACTGCAAAACATTCTACTCATAGCTAAGCCATATGATAGTGGCAGATTTCAGAGCTGTCAAAGCAATCTAGAATATAGTTAACCCAGGAAATAAAACCACTTTAAATTACTTAAATGTGATATAGACCTGTGTTAGATTGGATTGACTAGAGAAACAAATCCAGGGAAACTCATGTATGTATAAGAGAGAGCTTTATATCAAAGAGCAATTGTATGTGTATGTGTAAGAGAGAGCTTTATATCAAAGAGCAATTGTAAATTGAGAAAACGCCCCAGCCTAGTCCAGATGAAATCCATAAGTTCTATATTAGCCCATATGTCTGATATTAGTCCATAAATTCCCCTTTTGACAGACTCACATAGCCACTCACAATGATACCAAATACAGGAAGATCATAGGCCGATCGTGAAAAGACTTGTGGATCCAATGCTAGTGGAAGCAGCTCGGCTCTGGTGCAGAGTCTCCACATGGCTCCTTCCAGTGCTCCCAGTGTGGCTCCTCAATGCATCTCCACGTGGCTTGTCAACAGGAAGGGGAAGTAGAGGAAGTGTGAGGCTCACCTCCAGGAAGAAAGAGGATGTTCCCAGAATTCTCAGAAAGCCACACCCACAAGGAAGCATCATCAGGCTATGACCTGATTGACAGGCTAGACTCCACCCCTTCACTCTTTTTAAAAATCATTTTATTGGGGGCTCTTATAATTCTTATCACAATCCATACATACATCCATTGTGTCAAGCATACTTTTACATTTGTTGCCATCATCATTTTCAAAACATTTGCTTTCTACTTGAGCCCTTAATATCAGCTCCTCATTTTTCTCTCTCCCTCCCTCCCCCTCCCTCATGAACCCTTGATAATTTATAAATTATTAATATTTTGTCATATCTTACACTGTCCAACGTCTCCCTTCACCCACTTTTCTGTTGTCCATCCCCCAGGGAGGAGGTTATATGTAGATCCTTGTCATCAGTTCCCCCTTTCTACCCCACCTTCCCTCCACCCTCTCGGTATCACCATTCTCACCACTGGTTCTGACGGGGTCATCTGTCCTGGATTCCCTGTGTTTCCAGTTCCTATCTGTACCAGTGTACATCCTCTGGTCTAGCCAGATTTGTAAGGTAGAATTGGGATCATGATAGTGGGGGGAGGAAGCATTTAGGAACTAGAGGAAAGTTGTATGTTTCATCGTTGCTACCCTGCAACCCTGACTGGCTCATCTGCTCCCCGCAACCCTTCAGTTAAGGGAGTGTCCAGTTGCCTACAGATGGGCTTTGGGTATGCACTCTGCACTCCCCCTCACTTACAATGATAGGAGTTTTTGTTCTTTGATGCCTGATACCTGATCCCTTCGACACCTCGTGGTCACATAGGCTGATGTGCTTCTTCCATGTGGGCTTTGTTGCTTCTGAGCTAGATGGCCTCTTGTTTATCTTCAAGCCTTTAAGACCCCAGACGCTATATCTCTTTTTTTAAGACCCCAGACGCTATATCTTTTGATAGCCGGGCGCCATCGGCTTTCTTCACCACATTTGCATATGTACACATTTGTCTTCAGTGAGCGTATCAGGAAGGTGGGCACCCACTGATATGATTTTTTGTTCTTTGATGTCTGATACCTGGTCCCTTCTACCCCTCATGGTCACACAGGTTGGTGTGCTTCTTCCACCCCTTCTCACTCTTAATATCCTCAAGGTGACATGAGATTATGTAACTACCATAAGACCTGTTCCTGGTTTCAGTATACATAAACATGTATATCCTAATGAATGCTCTTAAAACTAAAAATAACAACTTAGTGTTTGCATTTAATCATTTGTTTATCAACATTAAAGTTATTGTCCTCCACGAAAATTGTCTGTGACATGTATCTTACAAATTAGCGAGTTGAGTATACAGGATCCACAATGAAGAGGAGAAACAAATAAACATCTCCATCATAATTGAGAAGCATGGCTACATACATGTCACAGAAAGCACATGTAGGTGTTGCAAGGTACCATGGGCTTGTTTCTAACTTACAGCAACCCTGCACACCGTGGGAGAAGACACGGCCTATTCCTGCACCACCCTTGCATCGGCCATGTGTTGATCTAGCATGTGGAAAGGCATTCTGTTTTTCTCTGCCCCTCTACTTTACGAGGCATAATGGCCTCTAGGGGTTGGTTCGGCCCGATACACATGACGAAATCTCACCATCCTTGCTTCTAAGGAGCATTCTCAGGAGTATCCTGGTTCCAACACATTATTTGTTCTTTTAGTAGCACGTAGTATATTTGATATTCTTCTCCAATCCAAGGGCATCAATTCTTCTTTGGTTTTCTATAAACAAAAACCAAATTCATGGCCATCAAGTTGATTTCAACTCATAGCAACCCATAGGACAGAGTAGAGCAGCCCCTGGGGGTTCCCCTGACTAATAATTCTTTACAGAAGTAGAAAGCCTCATTTTTCTCCTTCAGACCAGCTGGTGGTTTCAAACAGTGACCTTGCAGTTAGCAGCCCAATGCATAAGCACTATGCCACTAGGGCTCCTATGTAGAAGTAATCTCATCTTCATAGTGGTCTTGAAGCAGGTGAGATGCATTGATGTCTACTGTAGTTTTCATAGTATTCGTTTCCATCATGACGGATACTTGATGCAGAATTCTACTCTAACAGTCATATGGAAATAATAACTGCAGTCTGCATTCATTATAATGCGCTACCAACAATCTGTTCAGGTTATTTTACCTGTGAGCACAATTTAAATTTGAGTTCCAATGGGACAATGAATTACACTTTGTATACTTTAAAGCTATTTTTAATTGGCTTATTTATTTTAGAATCTCTAAGTGTTAAATTTTAAAATATACAAATCCAAGCAAATCAGAACTAAGGAAGGGGAACAGCACTTAGAATTTCTGAGCTCCACTTTTGCATAAGGTCTCTGCTCATTTTCACTTATGGCCTTTTGCAGATAGAACTGGACTCTCGAGGGTCAGGGGCTGGTTTTGTAGAACTTGATCGACAAGCCTTTCTTGCGAGGTCTCTCTAGGTGGACTCAAATGGCTAACCTTTCCGGTAGCGGCCGAACGTGTGAAGCATAAACTCGGCAGTTTGAACTCACCCAGAGATGCCTGGGAAGACGGGCTTGGTCATCTGCTTCCAACAGGTCACAGCCTTGGGAACCTTATGGAGCAGTTCCACTCTGCACACATGGGATGGCCATGAGTTCGAATCCACTCAGTGGCATCTCACTACAATAAACACAACTATTCAGGGGCTCCTGGTACATGGTAAATTCATGCAAACCAAACTTACTGCCATTGAGTCAGTTCCCCTCTTAGTGACCCCCTATAGGACAGGCTAGAACTGCCCCTGTGTGTTTCCAAGACTGTAACTTTTTTTTTTTTTTTTTAAACATTTTATTAGGGGCTCATACAACTGTTATCCCAATCCATACACACATCAATTGTGTAAAGCGTATCCGTACATCATTTCTCAAAACATTCTCTCTCCATTTAAACCCCCGACATTAGGTCCTCATTTTTCCCCTCCCTCCCCGGAGTTGAAAGCTTCATTGTCTCCCGTGGAGTGGCTTGGTTGTTTTGAACTGCTGACCTTGTGGGTAGCTTGCCCATTGCATAAAATCCACTATGGTAAGGGCTCAGTAAATGGTTCTTGCCACCACCACCTGTGCTAAAAACAAAGCTAGTTGCCATTAAGTTAATTCTGATTCATGCCTTGTGTGTCAGCCTAGAACTACATAAGGTTTTCTTTTGTATTTTTTTGGAAATAGATTACCAGACCTTTCTTCCAAGTTGCCTCTGGGTGGATGAACTTCCAGCCTCTTGGTTACCAGCTGAGCTCATTAGAAATGGAAATTAATTGATGAACCTATAGGGACAGCAAGTAGCATAAGAGTTTTGGAGGTGGGGGTGGGGTGGGGCTAAAGGGAGATGATGCTAAGGAGTCCAAGAAGAGAAAAATGTTTGGAAGCTAATTGTGGTAGCAGTTGCACAGTCCTGCTCAATATAATTGAACTGTGGAATAAGATATGTATTAACTTCTAATTAATAATAAAATAAATCTATTTTTCAAAGAAAGAAATTTAAGGTGGAGCAGGGCTATAAAGAGAAACCAGTAACAACTGAACTTCTCAGTCCCCCCCCCCCAATCCTCATTCTGATTTTTAAAACCTATCAGGAAAGCTTGTGAGATTTGTTTTATTTTCTTTTGTTAAATTGATCATTTACATGTATTTCCTATTAACAAACCTGACAATGGCAAAGCAAAGGTACCTGTTTATCTGTACCTTTCCCTCCACTCCTTGGTGAGGAATTCAGAGGGTTTTAATTAAGGGGCATTCTTTTGTTCACTCATCAATTTAATCCTAAAAGCATGTATTTTCCTTAGATTTGCCTTGTTCCCTTGTGACATTGTGATGGAATTGGTGAAAACTCAGAATAAGGTTAATACCAACTAGGAATCAGCCCAGTGTTTTACTGACTCGGTCTCCAGCAAAGGACGACTGCCACCTTCCTTTCCCTTCGCCTGTGTGTGCTGGGTTCGCCGGCAGCACACGCTTGTAGAGCATGTGTGTCCCTGAAACAACAGCAGCCACAGCTCAGGTCTAGGAACAGGATGGCCACAATTAAGAGTCAAATCCTGGAGCGTTTTCATTGATTATTTCTGGGAAACAACAGCCCTCTGGGTTTCTTTTAATGTTTTTGTATGTTTTTTTCTCCCCCTTTCCAATTTATTTTTACCAGCTGGTTTTTTCCTAGCTATGTACGCTTCTTCTTAGCCAGCTTTCTCCCCAGTCACCAAAAATAACAAACCTGAATTTGGTGTGGGGGAGTGTTTGGGACAGGGCCGCCCGCACGTAGAAATCACAAATCCCCAAGTTCCCCCTTTGCATGAGGGTCTCCACTTCTTTCTGCCTGTGACCTTTTCCAAAACAGCTGTCAATATTTTACTCTGCTCCTGCTCCCAGCCTGCAAATGACCCTGTGCACACACTGCTGCCACTGAAAATGGTCTGTCTTATTTTGAGTTGGATTTTTTCTTTTCCTTTTTCAATGCCTCGTTGCTATTAGAGTTTTACATGTTGACATATGAGTACGCTCGGTCGTTACTGGGGGGAGATCTCCACTAACAGAAATGTAAAAAGAAAAACCAAACACATGACCATATACGTTCATTCTTCTATTAAATCAAGATCCCTGTCTCATTAGCTCTGCTTTAATATAAAAGTGGGGGAAATCTTATGAGCAGAGAATCTTCTGTAAGCATCTTCTTTGTTATGGTTTTAGATTTATGTGAGATAAAGCTGCTCTATTAGTAATCAGTTTCTTCTCATACATTTTATAAAAAAATAATGTGCATGCTGTCTTTATTATATTTTTATAGGTGATCATTAAAAAATGGTCCATTCCTTGTCCTCTGACATTAAATTACAGAGAGGAATATTTCCAGGTAATAGCTTATTTTTCTATGCTTTATAGTTTAAAGTATTGTAAGCTATAAAAATTATATGTATTTTAAACCCAGACTAATAGTTTATTTCTGATTAATGAAAAGTAATGGTGATTTGCATTGGGGAACATTGTTTGGAAATATTTGAACACCTAGGTGAAATACCATAACTACTCAAGTATAAGCCGAGTTTTTCAGCACATTTTTAATGCAGTTTTTGTGGTGAAATTAGGTGCCTCGGCTGATATTCAGGTCAGTTTGTACTCAAGTGTATACGGTACTATGCCTGTCATTTTGGTTGATGTACTTGGACTTTTTAATTGGTGTTGGTTTCTCTTTTCCCCTCAATCCTCTTAACAGATTTCAAATGCTACAGATGACTGTAAACCAAAGCTCTTTCATTTCTCCAAAGAGGTGTGTAAGTTATTAACAGATACTTTGGGTTGATTTTTTACATTTCAAGTTTTAAAAGATTTGTGTAATAGGGTCTCTTAGGCCTTTGTACCTGTAACTAATTAATTTTCATGAAAGTGTTAAGTATAGGGCTACCTACCAGAAGAATAATATTATCTGACACAGGGTGGCCCATTATGAAACAGTCAACTCTTTTTTATTTTTGGCAAGTCTTTAAATGGAACCTGTTTTAAATGGGCCGCTGCTTCAGAGAACTGATTTACTGAATGTCTGGTCTGGCCAAGAAGGTCTTGTCTGAATACAGACTTCCTGTTACTCTCTGGACTTGTAAAGCTAAATAGTCAATTATATCAAAAATCCCTCCCTTGTGAGTAGAACCTTGGGCTGTAACTAACCGACCTCATCATTGGATCAGCAGATTGAGGACCGTTAGTATGCCTTCTGGCTGCCTTTCCAGAGTTGAAATTTCCAAGACCTGGAGCAGAGAAGAGAAAAACAAGTCACTAAGGCCCTAGAGAGCCTACTTTCCATCCACAAACTGGAAATAGCCGCAGAGCCCCTGAACATCCACAGAGACAGGACCTGTGATCTGGACCTCTCTCTGCTGTACCGTTCCTCTTACACTTGTTGATTGTGCAGGAAAGAGATCGATCGCAGGTACTCTCTGCCCTCACAGCTCTCTTGATGTAAAATGTTAGTGTGCTCACTTCTTCATGCAGCTTTTCCCTTCCGATCCTTCTGTCTGGGTAAAGATCTGTACACCTTGAAGATCTTGGGAGGGTCATTGGCCAGCCAGCAAAGTGATGCATGTATGAAGCAAAATGTGTGAATTCAACTCTCATGTCCCTAATCCAGTGTCAGGAGACACTGCAGCTTCCCAGCCTTCCTCGGAATCTTCAGAAGTCTCTAGGCTTCCTGTCCCCAGATGAGGCGGGACAACCATCTGGAACTTCTTTTGCAAAAGAGCCTAAAGTTAATTCTTAGATGGTGTTGGGGGTGGGGCTGGACTTCCTCCGACAAAGAGCGAAAGTAAATCCCCACCATGCATTTTGCAGACAGTATTTTTCTTTAGGTGGTACATTTGTTTGTTCTGTCACTTCCTTTAGCTCTTGTTAAATATTAGAGTAGAAGGGAGGAAAGGAGCAAAGGGAAGAAAGAAAGGAGTGAAAGAAATAAGAGGAAGAAAGAGACCCATGCTGGATCACGAAGAATTAATGGCTCTTGAATGGGTGATGTTAATTCTCATTAAGAGACACCATAGAGATGCTAGCAGCATGAAAGGGATTCCTATTTTTAATATCCCCTATAGATTAAAAATATTAGAATATTTCCCTCTAGATCAGTGGTTCTCAACCTTCCGAATGCTGCCACCCTTTCAGACAGTTCCTCATGTCGTGGTGACCCTCCCAACCATAAAAGTATTTTTGTTGCTACTTCATCACTGTCATTTGCTACTGTTATGAATCGGGTGACCCCTGTGAAAGGGTCGTTCGACCCCCAAAGGGGTCGCAACTCATAGTTTGAGAACCGCTGCTCTAGCTGAAAGCTGGTTTGAAGTCCTTATTTTTGTTCAGGAGAATGGAATGTTTTAAAATTGTGTACATTAGGAAAGCGTGAAATTACAATAAGAACATGTCTAAGTGGTATTGTGTTTATCTAACCTAAATACCATTTATCCTCATACTGAAGTTATTTTTAATCTGAACCAAATAACATCAAATAATTGGTGTTATAGATAAGCCCAAACTGTGGTTTGTTTGGATGAAATAAAAACGCCAAGCCCAGTGCCGTCAAGTGACCCCAGCTCACCACACCCAGGGGTGAATGTTTATCTTCCATCTGCTTCTCCAACTTCATCTGTAACACAAACCTGTAGTGTAGTTAGGAACCGCATTGCACTGTGGGAAAGGAGCCAAGGAATATTCTGGCTTGTATAGGCAAGCCAACAATTCCAGCAGACATTTGCTGTTGGGCCATAACTGTGTCCCTCTTAATAATAATTTTTAAATCTTACAAAGACATGATTCATGAAAGATGACATAAATGTAACCATACTGATTTTTTAAAAGATTCTAGCTTATTGTCCGATGAAACCTTTCTTTCAACAGAGTAGCACTTAATAATGTCATCTCTTTTTATCCTCTAGAGTGCTTATGCCATACCAACCATGGCGTTTTCATTTCTCTGTCACACCTCAGTATTGCCCATCTACTGTGAACTTCAAAGGTACTGCAGCTTCCTGGGATATTTTAAATATGTGAAGTATGTCTTGTTACCCCAGGCCTTCAGGTTGAATGATGTTCTCCTTTATGAGTTCGCTTTCTTGGCACTAGATGCTAAACATTAGTTTTTCAAAAACACCCACAGAAGGGAAAACTAAAAACAAATAAACCAAGAATTAATTTTGTTCAAGTTGAGAATGATGTCCAGAAATGTAGTATTTGTGGTCATTTCAAATCAGGGAGTCTGGTGTATTGCTATGACTGACCTGGGTCTTGAATAAATGAGATATCCTCTTGGTTAAGTTCAGGGACATTTGTTTCTTTAGATATACATCAGATCACCGATTATGCTTTTGCCATGTTTGTCTTTTAGCCCTTCCAAGAAAAGGATGCAGAATGTAACCAATATGGCAGTTGCTTTAAGTTTTCTTATCTACTTTGTAGCTGCCCTCTTTGGCTACCTGACTTTTTATGGTAAGTGTGTTCTATAATTGTAGATGATACCGCCTTGTGTAGATTCTTATAGAAATGGTCTCACACCTCAGTTTGAACTGCTTCTCAATAGTAAATCAGTCTGTACTGGCTGTCAGATTACAATAGCGGATACTGTGGTAGCTCCTGGAGCCTTAAAGAATTGGCTTCCCCTCTCTTACCAAGGTCAAGCAAGTTCAAGATTAATAACTTCATATGAATTTCTAAAACACCTTCAGTAAAACTTCAAGCTGAAGGGCACTCATGTCTTTCCACAATAAAATGTTTAATAATGATTGTATTTTCATTGAGAATTTGACACATTAGGGGACTTTTTATATGGGGGCAGGCATCTTTCATCTTAATTGCATATAAATAATTGAAGAAGAGACTTCATACTGGATGAAAGTTACATATTTACATAGGAGACCTCTGCCTTCAGGCAGAATCATCACAGGATTCAGCATATGTGTGTGTTTGAGAATGCACTACTACTTGCTTCTTACATTTTTAAAAAGTGTTCTTTTATATTCATAAAATAAAACTTACAATGTCTTTCTATTTGAAAAGTTGCCTGTTTAGTATTTTTTCACCCCTTCCGATAAGAATCTCAAGCCAAAGTAAAATTTAAAACTCTAGAACAAGAGGGGGAGGAAAAAGTAGCTCTTATTTAATTTGCAAATAAGTTTCTTTAGTTTGGAAACAAGAAATCACAGCACAAATCATACTCAGCTTGCCAGTATCTTCCTCTCTTAACCACCCTTACCATGAGGATAACTTGAGGGGATAAGTTATATGTAAAGTACCTGTTACAGTACCTGACATACAGCAAGAACCAGAATCCGGTTGTTGTTGAGCCCATTGGACGCTGTGTGCCGGCGCAACACGGTGCTCTGTAGGCTTGCAGTGGCTGGGCGCTGGGAAATGGAAGACCAGGCCTGGGTCCCAGGAGCCTCTGGGGGTCCTCTACACACAGGGCTACTGCTGCTGGTGTGTTAGCATTACTGCTCTCAGTGCTATGGTCGTCCAGGGATTTCACATGCTCTACTGCTTGCCCCTGCATCTCTCTTACTGTGTTAGCGAAGTTTAATTTTAATCTGGCAACACTTTGTTATCATGCGATTTCTTATCATGGAATTTCCTACGAGTGAGAAAGCTACAGTTGCACTAGATGCCCTTTTCTTGCTATTTCTTTATTGCCCCAGGAGTAATAAAGGCTTCCACTAGTTTAAATCTGCTCTTGCATTAGCTTTCATGTGTCATGATGCTCAAAAACCCTGTCGGACAGTACTGTATTGTAGGAACTGGACTCGGGGCCCCTTAACACCAGCAACAAAATTCATTTATTAAAGCACAAACTCATCTCTCCCCAGGAGAGCAGTGGTGGGTGAGAGGTGGAATTCTCTCCTTCCTGGGGGAGACCCGTTCAGTTCCTGGCCAGTGCACCTGACGCACAGCCCCCCCCCCCCCCCCCCCCCCCCCGATGGCCGAGGCTCGTGTGTGGCCCTGGTGCCAAACAGGTCTCAGTGGAGCCTTCAGATTGGGACTGATCAGGAAGAAAGGCCTGGCAATCGATTTTTGGAAACCAGCCCATGAAGACCCTGTAGGTCACCAGTCTGATCCCCAGTCAGTCAGGATAGGGTCGCCATAAGTTGGGGTCGGACTCAAAGGCAGCCCACAGCCACAGAAGCTGCCCCAGCTTACACTGCCATCCAACACTCTTGCCCTTTATACCCCCATCAGGGTTGGGGGAGACATTGAGAAGGTGGAAGAACATCCCGGGAAGTGCCCGGACACAGCACAGTCAGCTCTCCACGCCCGTCCCTGACTCCTGCTCCAGCCGCTTCCCTCCGACCACATTCACTCTCTTCTTTTTCTCTGAGAAAGAGAAAGGCCCAGCTGACTTGTCAGCGAAGCAGACCGCATATGCAGAACTCGTAGGGGAGTGTAGTAGTGAAGCGAACACGTGAACTTGGGTTTACAGCACTGCCACTTGGGATTCTATGATCGTGGTCAAGTCATGTAATCTTCCTGAAGCTACTTCTCTATCTCCTATCATTCTTGTGGGGATCACATTCAATAATACACTTGAAAGCACTGTATAAACAAACAACCTACGTTTCTAAGATCTTGAGACGATGGAAAGGCTTTCAAAAGAGAATATATATCTCTACCTATTCCTTACCATTGAGGGCGAGGCTGGGCCTGGGCTCCTCTCTAATTTATGTGGCGGGGAGAAAGAAACAGGAAAAAGAAGGCTGTAGGTTTCATAGGCTCTGAAAGACTGTGGAGTTGGTACTGAGATTGCAAAATATAAAAGCCACTTGTGCAAAGGAAAAGAATTTTGCTATTGTTGCTGTCTTCATCCTTTCTAATGTGACCCTCGTTGTTTTTCCTCCTTGACAGACAAAGTGGAGTCAGAACTACTACGAGGTTATAGCAAATACTTGCCACATGATGTGGCTGTCATGGCTGTGAAGTTGTGCATTCTCTCTGCCGTGCTTCTGACAGTCCCTCTCATCCACTTCCCTGTAAGTGCCCTTCCAGGGGCTGTGGCTCCGTGTAGCGGTTCCCTAATATGGCAATACTAATTCTTTGCAGACTTGAACGATGGAATCACATTTAGTTCTGTATATCTTATTCATTTGTCGAGTAATTGATCAAAGACCTCATACTCACATATGGCCCCATGAAAGCACAAAAATAACAGCGAACCACTAAGCTAATTTGTGCTTTTTGAGATCCAGTTTAGATTTACGCTCTCCCACGGCATTGTTTCCAATTTAGAGACCATAAGACTTCTAACATTTGGGGTTTGGTTTTTTGATTTGTTTTTTTCATTCCCTCCTCCCCCTTTAAATTCTGCATTCTGTTTTCAAAAGAATGTGCATGAAGAGTAAAAAGTCGAGTTAGCAAAAATCAGCTCCTGCTGGTGTATTGTAAGTTTATTTTCACATATACATTCTCGTTTAATCTTCATTAAAATGGTGTGTTTGCTCTGGAACAATAATTTAAGGGACAAAACAGATGAACATTCTGCTGAAATTATTATATAGAAGAATGTTAAGCATTTCTGAGAAAATAGAAACAAAGGCTTGGGTGTGGAAGTGTCTGGGTGGATGTTTTAACTCTCTAATGGGGCCTTCTGAGTGCTTTGCCTCCGTGCTGTGTGGATAATGGTGCAGCAGTAGCGGGAGGGGTGGGGGAACGCTTTCTGGGAAAACAGGTTTGGGGACATGACCTCCGGCTTGCCTGCCTGAGCGATGAGAAGTGTGTGAGTGGGTTTTCAAATTTCCATGCTGTGAAACAGACGCTACCAAATGAAGTAGTGAGTGGTGTGTTTCTGCCCCATGGCGTACTTTCTTCTCGGTTTTGATTTTTGGTTTTTCTGCCAGGAGCTCTGGTGGCAAAGTGGTTACGTGTTGGGCTGCCAAACACAATGTCAGCAGTTTGATACCACCACCCACTCCGAGAAAGACAGGACTTTCAGAAACCCACAGGGGCAGCTAGCTGTACCTTGTCCTAGAGGTTTGCTATGAGTCAGAATTGACTTAACGGCAATGAGTTTGAGTTTGTTTATCAGTATAAGTTAATGCCAACGATGATGATTTCATCACACAGTGTTGTGGTTGGTAATTTCAAAATGTTTGCAACCTACAGAAAATCTGTGCAAGAAAAGCCTCACAGAAGAAAAGAAAACGCCTGTAGAATTTCATCACTTTCTCCGAGGCTCACACAGAGAGCCGCATTTCTTAGTTTATGTGTCTAGACCCTTTGATGCTATCTTTCTAGAACCTAAAGTTTAAGAGACAAGAACGTCATCACCGTTTGGGCGGCCCTGTTTCATTTGACCCACCCCCTTTGCTGACACCCATTTCCTTCTCTATTGTACAGGCCAGGAAAGCTTTAATGATGATACTTTTCTCCAATTTTCCATTCTCGTGGATTCGCCATTCCTTGGTCACGCTAGCACTCAATATAATCATCGTTTTACTTGCAATATATGTTCCTGACATTAGAAATGTATTTGGTGTGGTGGGTAAGTTTTCTATTTAAAAAAAAATCTACATCATGAAATAGATAACCTGGAAAAATTGTTACCCAGCCTCACATTTAAATCTAGTAACACCCTCTTGTTTACCCCTCCCTCCTGCTTCAAGGAGCCAGCACATCGACCTGCTTGATTTTTGTCTTCCCTGGACTGTTTTATCTTAAGCTCAGCAGAGAAGATTTTTTCTCATGGAAAAAGCTGGGGGTAGGTTGAATGATTTTTCTCCTAGGAATCTCCTACTTTAGGAAATTGTTTATCATCATATATTAGGTATTTTATCTACATCAAGAAATATTGTTATTTTTATAAAACATAAAGTGTATTATTATGATGGGTGGGGTGTTAAAAAATATTCTAATTGTTTTATTCCTCCCCCCACCAACTTTTATTTCCGCAGGCTTGTGCTTTGCTCATCGTTGGAATTTTGATTGGAACGTTTAGTTTAGCGCTCATCATTTTTAACTGGACTAATAAATGAAAGAAGTATTTTTCCATGTTTTATGATGAGTAAGTGGCCATTAACTTCAAGAAGAATGATTCTGGAAGATGTTTGGAAGGAATCCTCTTTATATGGTCTAACGTTTCTATAAGAAATTAACAGAAAAGCAGAACAAACTAGTATGGAATAGGGGAAGTGGGAATATAGCTGTTCTTGTTTTGTTTGTGCTAAGATAACAAAACACTTGCCATTTCAATATTCATCTAAGAAGCAACCTCAGTGTGCTCTGAAATATATTGCGACAATCTTATGTTTGCCTGTTCGTTTTGATTTAATTTGCTTTTTTTATTGTTTTAGCATGTGGTGTGTTTGTTTTCTGTTTTAGGGAATTCCGTGTATTAAATACATATAGAAAATTGCCTCTTACCTTGTAGGTTAATGTTGTCAACATCGACCTCTAACAGCAATCTAATAGTAATGGCTGTTGCACTTGGTATCTCGCCCTGCCCCCAACTCCTGTTGAGAACTCGGTGGATTTTCCTCTGTTGCTCATTATATGATAAAACTGTGGCAGTGACTGTGTATTTGAAAGTTCTCTTGCGCTTTTTCAGTTTGTCACTAAAACATGATTTATTTTTGGCAAGCGGAGACAAATCTTGATAATTTAGATCATATTTTGTTTGAGAGTTTTAAATAATTTTCGGCTTCCCCCTGACATGCCTTGTTACTGGTTGGAAGCCAGGAGCTCGGCGTGGCTCCCGGTGAGGGCACGGTAAGGTAGCTTCCCAAAGCTTGGTGGATCCGTGAATATGTAATCCTGTCCGGGTGCACAGGGAAGGTAGGGGATTGCATGCAAAGTGATCGTTTGCATATATGAAAATGCATATCTTTGCAGCTGCTCTTTTGTTTCCCGCTTAGGAAACTGGGACTGAGAAATCTGAAAGCTGAGCTGCCTTTTTTTGGATCAAGATAACTTCCCAGGCAACTTGACAGCCCCGTGGTGTAATGGAAAAAGCCCCTGTTTTTGGATCGGAACAACTTGAGTTCAAATGTCAGTGAGCTCAGACATACTGCTTCACCTCCCTAAACCTCAATTTTCACATCTATGAGTTGAGTTGATACTCACTGTATATCAGTGGTTCTCAAACTTCCTAATGCCATGACCCTTTAATAAAATTCCTCATGTTGTGGTGACCCCCAACCATAAAGTTATTTTCGTTGCTACTTCATAACTGTACTTTTGGTACTGTTATGAATCCTAATGTAAATAAATATCTGATATGCAAGATGTATTTTCATTGTTGCAAATTGAACATAATTAAAGCATAGTGGTTAATCACAAAAATAATATGTAATTCTATATTGTGAAATATTTATTTCTAATTACAAATAAATGAAATTTTGTCTTGAAGCTGGTGTAGCATGGGTAACAGTCCTCAGGCCAGGTACTCATATGTGGGTGTATCTGCATGCGGGTGGACCCGCCTGGAGATGGATCAAGGAGCGGTGTTTCTATGGGAAATAATTTGTTTTCCCATGGTCTTAGGCGACCCCTGTGAAAGGGTCGTTCAATCCCCAAAGAGGTCGCGACCCACAGCTTGAGAACCGCTGCTGTATAGGCTTATGTTGTGAGGATGGGTTTGTATCAGTTCATACAGACAGGCCAGGCCAATAGAGGAAGTGTTCATCCCCTTTTTCCGATCTCGTCATCGGGACTCGCACAGCGAACTTCTTTGACTGAAGGGCATGGAGTCCATCTTGAGTTTCGTCATCTTCCGTCTTTCACAAGCTGCTGCCATTAGCCTTTCTCTCGCCTTTGCTCACAGGGCAGGGCCCCAGGTGACAGTGTAGTGCTCCCTGCAATTCCCCTCCACACCTCCTGCTCAGTTCACCGGCAAATGCCCTCCTAAAACTGGGCATTCAGCAAGCCCTTGAGGATACAGCCAGGCCTGGCCTTAGAAAGTGCTTCAGGTCAGCTCAGCGCAGCTCACCAATCTGATACAGTGTTTTTCTTATCCACTTCTGGGTATGAAATTATGGATCCACATACAAACGGTTCAGCTGCTTAAATAAATCCAACTCCAGTAATCCTAAAATAACCCTAAATCTGCAACAGATGCAAGGGTGCCCCTGAGCAAATGTTAAGTATGATGACAGCTGGGCATCAATTCATACATTTGTCGCCTGCCCATAGAATAGGATCATGGGAGATTTGACCAAGGGACAAGTAACCTCTTGAGCACTCTGCACTACACTTAGTTACAAGCAAAAGACGTTACTGGTGGAGGCATTTATTTTAATTTTACTCTGACATTCTGCCTAACCTAGTTGGCTGTTTGGAATCACAACCGGCCCCAGGAGAAGAGGAGGGGATACAAAGGTGGTAAGAACAGTGGCCCCTTTACTTTCACTTTTATCAGGACGACCCAGAACTTTATCCAGGTACCCCTCAGCAGTGTTCCTGCGAAATTTGGGTGCCTCTCTATGAGCTTAATGCTCATAATGTATTGGGTAATTACTACTTAAAATACAATGAAGTAAAGTACAAAAATAGATGCTTTTTAACATTTGCAGACTTGTTTACTAAATTAAAAGACCTGAAATGCTAAGAATATAAATTAGTTTGTTTTTTTTTAGATTGGGAGGTAAATGTTTAAAATACTTTAAAAAATAACAGAAAACAAAAGGGGAATGTTTACTTAGGAGCTAGACATTTAAATGGTTAAAACAGTCTTTGAAGTTAACACTCCATTAAGGAGAATGGGGGCAATTCACACCTCTATGATTTCTGTCTGGCTGCAGAGAAAACAAGACAGCAGTACACTGATTTACTATGTGGCGGCCCTTTAAACACCCTAGGTATGGAAACCTTTGAAGTTTTGTTGGTTTATTCGCCCTTCTTCTTCATCTAGAAACAAGATCGGAAATGCACCACAATCTAGGTATAGGATTGAAATCTTGAAAGTACCAGGACTCTACTAGCTGCCAATTCCATCTCTGGCCTTGGATGGGTAGTAAATGACCAGATCTCTGCTAAGAAATTTGGAAGGCAGCTACCTAACCAACTGACTGGAAGAGATCCATGTTTGTTCCCACTCTAGAGAAAGGGGACCCAACAATGTGCAAATTAATACTACAATATTAATACTACATGCAAGTAAAATTTTACAGATCATTCAACAAGAGTTGCTGCATTGACTAGGAGGAGCCAGAAATCCAAGCTGGATTCAGCGGAGAAGATGGCGTGAGAGCTTGGCTGAAAGCAGAGAATAGCAGAAAGATGCTTGCTTGTGTTTTATTGACTCTACAAATGCACCGGACTGTGGAATCCTAACAGACTATGGAGCGCCTTGAGAAGAATGGGAATTCCAGAACATCTCATTGTGCTCAGGCAGAATCAGGACAGACCAAGAGGCAGTCACTCAGACAGAACAAGGGAACCCAGAAAAGCGTGTGTCAGGGTTGCATCACCCTTTCACCAAATGTATTCAATTTGTATGCGGAGCAAACAACCAGGGACGTTAGATGATATGAAAAAAAGCTTGGCATCTCTCTTAGAGGCGGGCTTGTTAAGAACCCAGGCTGTATAGAAGACACAGTCTTGCTTGCCGAAAGTGAGAAGGGCTTGAAGCCCTTGCCAGTGACATCCAGGACTGTTGACGTCTGTATGGACTACAACTCTGATGCCAAAGCAAAAGCCTCCAACTGCACAGACAGACAGACAGCATCTTGAAGAATGAAGAAAAGATCCAAGTGATCAAGGATTTAATTTTATGTGGACTGTTCAATTCCTCGGGTGGGAGATGCCTCAATCCTTGCCTTTGCACGAGAAGGAAATTCATGCTAAAGCCTGGTTTGTGATCCGAGTGGGTTTTTATAAACTAGAAGCAGTTTCAGGCGGGACAGTAAACTGAACACAGGCACCCTCGGGGCCCTGCACACCCATGTGGCAGCCTGAGGCCAGAGAGAGAGAGACCACAGCCCAGTTGAGCAGAACCGCAGCCCAGCTGAGTGGAAGGCAGGGGAGCAGCTGGAAAAAAGAGAGCAGTTGTCTCCACATTCTGGCTCTTTAGGGCCTTCAGCTGGGAGGCGTGGCTGATGGTACTGGCTGACCCCATTGACTGAATTAAGCCCACCTGGCTCAAGGCCCTGAATTGGCACATGCCCTTTAACCAGGAGCTTCCAACCTCCTGTAGGTGGCCCCTAGGCATAGAGAGGAACAATCCCCTATCTTGCTACCTAACAGACCCACAATCAATACTCATGGAAGGAGCAGTCAAGAAATCAAACAACGCAGGGGCTGTGAACTATTTAATGTGGCTCTTCTAGCAAAGTCTCTAACTCCCATCAAAAGACCTATTTCGTATGGGTTTGATAAGAAGATGGGGGGAAATACTGATAGGATGTGCCTGTGAGTAATTGTGAACAGAATTTTCTGTAATGCCAGCCTGCTGTGCATAAAATGAGCCTTCTAAGAAGGAGGAGGGATTTCATTACTAACAACAGCCAGGAATGGACCCCATCCTCTACCCAAGATTGTCACACTGTAAACCTCCTAGATCCAGAAAACAGGTGTACCACCAGAGGGGCAGCAGCAGAACCAGGAGCCAGCGCACAGAGTGATGGACTACCCAACCCACGAAGCAAGTAAGACCGAGTGCTTTTGTGCAGGAGGCTGGCTTGCAGAGTGGGTGCCTCTGGGCACTTAACTGGAGCAGAGGTCCTGGCTGAGTCTTACGGGAGTGGGGTGGCTCTGGACACCTAATTCAGGGTGGCTGGGTTTCCTGGTCCTTGGAGATTGAGCTGAATGCCTTTGAGTCGAGGCTTATTGTGTCGAGGCTTATTGTGGAGTGGTCTGTCCCTCTGAGCACTTATTCCCAGACCTGACAGAACTTTGTAACCTATCCTGGTACATAACTCAACCATGAACATTTCTCTTTGGCATGACAACTTGTTAATTTCCTTAATAAACCCTTTAATCATGAATTGTGTGAGCCAGTGTAGCCATTCCAATGGATATGAGAACCCAGAGAGGTAAAATAGAGAACATTAAGACAACCCACAATACACTGTATGGAGCCAATCTGCACCAGACAGATATCACGTCAAAGACTAGAGTGTGGTTGGCTGAAGCCAGGGCATTTCTTTTTTTTTACAGGTTTATTGGCACTTCATCCACATATAATAAATTCAATAGTTCAGTCATTTGAAGAAGAGTACAGTTATTACCACAATCAATTTTAGAATATCTTATACTCATTTTTATTTATGTAATTAAAACAAAATTTTTCAAAAATATACACAACAAAACATTCTCCAATTCTACAACTTCTACATGTGTAATTCAGTGCCACTGATTATGCTCTTCATGTGATATAGCCTTTATTGGCATACTTTTCCAAATTATGCCACTATTAACAAGCTCA